GGGGGGGGGACAGAGGCCACAGTGTCAGCCTACAACCTCGCACTGTCTGCTGAGAAAAACGCAGCCCTGAGGTACTGCGGGTGGCTTCTTTACTTCTTTGAAAACGCATAAAAGCCTGAGCGAGAAGTGTTTTTTTCAATATCATACTCCAAGTGATGGCAAGTGTGAATGTGTGAGTATCCATCTCAGAATCAGAATCAGAATCAGAAATACTTTAATAATCCCAGAGGGAGATTATTTTTCTTACCAACTCCAGATATTTCATCCATCCATTATTGTTGCCGCTTATTCCCTAATGGGCTCGCGGGGAGAACTGGACTATCCCAGTGGTCAATGGGCAAGAAGGCAGGGTACATCCTGGACGGTCCGCCAGCCCATCGCAAGGCCACACAGAGACAATCAACCACACACACTCACTCCTAAGGGCAATTTGGAATGTCCAACCAACCTAACATGCAGATTTTTGGACAGTGGGAAAATCTCCAGACTCCACACAGAAAGGTCCTGGTTCCCCCAGGGATTCAAACCCAGAACCCTCTTGCTGTGAGGCCATGGTGCTAACCACCGTGCACCACCGTGCCGCCAGTATAAAAGGCATGATATGGAAAATAGTCATAATTTCACATGTAAAAGCAGATGGGGAAGAAAAAAAACATAAAAAGAAAAAAATGAGCACAAAAAAAGTGCAGTGCGCTTGTCTGTTAAATTTTTTTAAGTCAAACCTAATCCCTTTACGTTGTATTATCCCCCTATTAAATCAATTTTGCCTTCACAGTTCACGATGAGAGGACGTAGTCGAGTTGTTCAAATCTGTGTATCTGAGACCCCCTGGCTTATCAGCCTCAATCCAATTTACTTGGCATATAATCGCATCACTTATACGGCGTTGTCTTACACACACCACATGTCTGCAACAGATGTGGGAGAGTCTCCGGTGTGGATTTGGTGGGTTCTTAGAAACAGATGCCTTCAATTCTATAGAAATACTCGCTACTGTCTAGATAGCATCAAAACCACAAATATGGTTTAATATCTTATGCTATACCAGAGGGCTGAAAGCTCTAAAGGTTATTGTCATTGTCTGTGTGA